CATCGCTGGATAGGTAAAAAAGAGTGCACTTTTTCTACCACCAGATTATATTTCAAAGGTATACTTGTAAAGAAAAAAAATTGTAAAGAAAAAAGAATCAGATTTATTAAATCCAGTTTGTTTATGATTTACAGTAAAATTGTTTTTTAAAGGCCACTTAATCCATGAAGATGATGCTTAGCAATTTAAATTGTAGCATATTTAATAAATCAGGACTCAGTCTTCTGCACCTTGGCTGATCATGGAAGTGTTTCTGTGTCCCTGTCACAAACTTGTCCCAATATTTAGGGGTATTTTTCACATCAGTATACAAAAGTATATTTCACATCAGAGGAACATTTCTTCTTTCTCTGTATTTGTGTTCGTAACATCGAGATAATACATGCAAATATATGTGAAATAATGTCAGGAACAGATATGTAAGTATTTTCTTTTGGAAAAATGTGTCACATTTTTGTTAAACATTAATGTAAATAATGTATGGGAAACACTTGGGAGCTGCTGATCAAAATACCTTTCTGTTGATAACTTGATTTAGTAGATGAGACAAAAAGCTTTTCCCCTTGAAGCTGTTGGCTTAAGTAAGCTCAAGGTGAGTGCTATCTTAGAGAAGGCTCCAAAGAAATGAGTGATTTCATCTCCTGTAGAACTCCCACGCCATCAAGTTCAACATGTCCCTGCTAGAAATGTCTGTATTCCTAACAGTCTCGGCAAAGTGATAAAAAATGGCATGAGCTTGATTACATACTGTTCCTTTCCAAATACAACCAAATCTTAAGCTCAAGAAAGAGGACTGCAAATACCTTATCTATTTACTTTAGAAGGTACACTTTCTGAAAGCACTCCATAACTAAATAAACTGTATTTCCCCATACTAATAACTTCAAAATCTGCATTTTCAACCTTACAATTCACAAAAGAAAGCAAAGATGCAGAAATAATTCCACCAACTAAATAATTCCAGGAAGGCAGCAGGTTTATCCCATAAATACTATTAAGGATAGCATTTAATTAAACAGTATTTAATTAGGCAGCATAGAGCTGTTTTCTAATAAATACTATAAAGGTTGTATAATTAAATATTTTATTAGAAATAAGTATTATCATTTAGTTATTTCCCCTTTCCATTCATGATGCACCAATTTGTACTGCTACTTCTTTTGCTAGTTAGGTATCTAAGGAGAAGGGTGTTTCTGTACATTTGGGATTCAGTCCTTGTATTCAAAGAAAGGCAAGATTTCTTCTGTTTTTCTGTGGATGCACACTGGATTTAAGGGCTTTACAGTTCCCTTTAGCTCTTACACTCATCTTTCTTGAAAGTAGCAGATGGAAATGATGATGTGCCATCAGTCTCACCACTGTGCCTAATGTTGTAAGTCATATAAAATAAGGAACAAATCTTTTGGCCCTGTTTTCATTCCTTGATAATACAACAGGACTTCAGGGCCTTGGGTCAACTGGTTCAGGGCTCAGGAGCCCAAGTAGTGCTCTTGTCCCTCCTGCCAGTCACAATCAATGACAATGGCTATATCAGAAAAATCTCACTAATTAATTCCTGGCTCTGTGACTGGTGTCAGTGTAAGAATTTGGGGGGTTTTGACCACGGGTCAGTCTAAACGGCACCAGGCCTGCTGGAGGCAGATGGGTACATCTGTCCCAAAGGGGAAAAGGATTCTAACCCAGGACCTAGCAGGGCTGATAGAAAGGGCTTTAAACTAGGCTTGAAGGGGGAAGATGGTAACACCAGGCTCACTAGAAATGAGCCACAGGGTAGCATGCTACTGTTGGAGTCCAGATCCACAGGGTAACTTAAATGCATTTATGCCAATGCCAGCAGCATGAGTAACAAACAGGAGTAGCTGGAAGTCATTGTGCAGCAGGGAAATCATGACATAATCACCATCACAGAAACATGATGGAATGATTGGAGTGCTGCAATGGATGGCTACAGGCCCTCCAGAAGGGATAGGCAAGGAAAAAGAGGTGGCAAGGTTGCATTTTATATCAGGCAGTGCATCAAGTGCCTAAAACTTAGTATTGTGAGTGAGAAGGATGAATACGGGTGAAGACTAGGGGGAAGGCTGACCAAGCAGATATCCTGGTAGGAGTCTGTTATAGACCACCCAGCCAAGGTGAAGCTACAGATGACATGTTCTTCAAACAACTGGGAGAAGTTTCATGATCGCTTGCCCTTTTCTTGCGGGGAACTTCAGACTGTCTGCTGAAAGTACAATACAGCAAGGAAGAAACAATCCAGGAGGTTCTTGGAGGGTGTGTAAGATAATTTCCTAAACCAGCTGGTTAGTGAGCCAACTAGGGGAAATGCCTGGCTAGATCAGCTGTTCGCAAATAGAGAAGGACTGCTGGGTGATGTGATGGCTGGAGGCCATCTTGGGGAAAGTGATCAAAAAATGATTGAACTTTCAATCATTGGAGAAGTCAAGAAGAAGGTCAGCAAAACCTCCACTTCAGATTTTTGGAGGGCTGACTTTGACCTGTTTACGATGCTAATCTGGTTGGCAGAATTCCGTCGAAAACATTACCGAAGGACAAAAGGGTCCAGGAAGGCTGGACACTCTTCAAGAATGAAATCCTTAAAGTGGAAGAGCAGGCAGTCTCTATGTGTGGAAAATCAAACTGGCAGGGAAGACCAGCCTGGCTGAACACGAAGATATTGCTGGAACTCAGGAAAATAAAGAGAATTTATCACCTGTGAAAGAAGGGACAGTCACCTCATGAAAAGTTCAAGGATGTTGTTAGGCTATGTAGACAGAAAGTTAGAAAGGTGAATTCATAGATGGAACTAAATCTGGCCACTGCCATAAAAGATAATAAAAGTACTTTTACAGATCTATTGGCAATAAAAGGAGGGCCAAAGAGAACCTTCCTTTATTGGATATCAGGGGAAACCTGGTGACTGAGGATGAGGAAAAGGCTAAAGCACTTAATGCTGCTTTTGCTTCGGTCTTTAATAGTCACACCAGCCACTGGGATCAGGCCCAGTCAGCACGTGTTCATGAAGGGCAGGTCCTGCTTGACCAACCAGATCTCCTTGTATGATAAGGTGACTTGCCTGGTTGATGAGGGCAAGGCTGTGGACATTGTCTATTTGGACTTGTGTAAAGCATTTGACACTATCTACCACAGTGTTCTCCTTAAGAAACTGGCTGCTTATGTCCTGGATAGGTGGATTCCTTGCTGGGTTGGAAACAGGCTGGGTGGCCAAGCCTAACAGATGGTTCTAAAAGGTATCACATCTAGTTGGTGACCAATCGCTAGTGATGTTCCTCAGGGCTCGGTGTTAGAGCCAGTGTTGCTTAGTATCTTCACTGATGATATGGATGAGGGGATTGAATACAGTCTCAGTAAATTTGCAGATGAGACCAAGTTGGGTGGGATCAACCCAAGCTGGGCTGATCTTCTTGAAGGAAAGAAGGCTCCACAGAGGGATCTGGACAGGCTGGATTGATGGGCTGTGGCAAATGGTGTGAGGTTCAACAAGGCTCAGTGCTGGGTCCTGCATTTGGGCCACAACAACCCCATGCAATGCTACAAGCTCGGGGAAGAGTGGCTGTAAAACTGCTTGGTGGAAAAGGCCCTGGAGCTGCTGATTGATGGCTGCTGAACATGAGCCAGCTTGTGCCCAGGCAGCCATTGGATATTAGGAAAAATTTCTTCACAGAGGGGGTGATCAGGCATTCAGCCAGGTAAGTGAAATCACCATCCCTGGAAATGTTCAAAAAATGTGTGATATGGTTTAGTGGTAGTCTTAGCAGTCCTGGGGTAATAGACTTGATGATCTTAAAGGTCTTTTCCAACCTAGTTGATTCTATGATTCTATTGTTCTATGATTCTATGACTGAGTAGTGTGACCTAAAGAGAAATAATAGCATCTCCCCAGTGTACCAGCCCCATATAAGACCGAGTGTTGATGTCTTCTGAAGGAATTTCTGTGGTCCTGTTCACTGTCTTGTAGAACAAGAGCTGCCTTACAGCCACAGACTGGCTCCTTCTGATTCCTCAGTTTTAATTCACTACACTTTTCAGCTTTCTACTCTCATCCCTCGATGCTTGAACTCAGGAAAATGACCATTAAACATGAGTATTTTAGACTTAGTACAAAATTCTCATTTGAAATGAGGAGCTATAGGTTAGGAATTCCCTGCACACTGCTTAGCTGCAATTTCAGAGCATGATTAATTTCTCAGTGCAAATCATCAGGCAGAAACCCACAGGGGTTCCTCAGTTGTGCTTAAAGCAGAAGATTGAAACAGAGGAGTGCTCATTCATAGATGAGATTGTAATTTTACTAGTGAGTTACACATGCAAATTTTTTCTCCTTATCAAGACCTACCACTTACATTTATTTATATGTGGTTTTCTATTCCTTTCAGAGGCTGAAGTCTGAGTATCGGGATCTCTAAGAATATGCTGTATACAACCAGAAAAACAATTTGCAACAGAGAGGAATGAATAGAAATGCAGAGCTTTTTCACAAAACTTCATTGCCAGAGCATTGCCTTACCCTCCCTCGCATTGCTGCCAAGCTCTCAGCAGCAGCCACACGAACAGAGACACATGAAACATTTGCAGCCAGTAATACCTGATGATAACCTTGACTATGACATACACCATTATTACCGCTCCTTAAAGCGGGAGGGATCCGCGGGCGCAGCGCGCCCGGGCCCTGCAGACAGCGGAAGCGGACGACCACTCAGTTTCTCTGACGCTCTGCCCATTGGGAATCCTGCTTCCCGCCCTTGCCAGGGTGTGACCCTACTTCCCTCCCTCCTACTCTCCCTCCTTTTCTCCTTCCCTCTTCACAGCTCTCAGCCGTCTCGCTGACCAGCCCCGCCAGACGCTCAACGCCACCGCCAGGTGGCGGCCCACCACCGCTCTTGGCGCGGAGCCTCGGGAGGGGCCGGGAGCGGGTCAGGGAGCAGGAGCAGGTTCTGGACCAGAAGCGGGTCTGGGAGCAGAGCCCCCCCCAGGGAAGAAACAGTTTAATAAAGGCAATGAAGGCGGACCCGCTACCTCCCGCTGGGCGCCGAGATGCAGGGATCCAGGCATGGGAATGCGGTGCGCAGCCTGGAGTACCCCAAACAGCGTGTCCTTGTTAGTGCTATATATATCATCGTCGTCATTATTAAAGTCTATGAATCCAGTTAGTGGTGACTCGCGGCCCGACGGCAACAGTGGCCAGTGTGTTTGTGCCGGGGATACTCAGCCCCACGGGTTTAAGGGGGGGGGGGAGGGGTACTGCTTTTCCCCGCCACCATGGTCACCCTGCCCTGCTGCGGGGCGCCCTGGAGACGCCGTCCCGGTGGGAGCTCCGCGCCTCGCCGCTGCTGCTCGCGGGGTGCGCGGATGCGGGTCAGGGGCTGGGGTGAGGGGTGTGCCACGGCCGCGCTCCACTCCTCTCCCGACGTCCGAATCCTTGCCGGCTGCGAGTGTGTGTGTGCGCGCGGAGAGGGGAGGAGGGAGGAAATGGGGTGGTGGTGGTAGCGGCTAGGGGGGTGGAGGGGGGGAGATTATTGGCAATGGGCGGGAAAGAAAGAGACGACTCCTGTTTCCTTTTCTTTCTGCCAGCGCAATCTCGGCTCATTTTCTCTAAGCAATACAAGTTCACGGACGAGCTACCTAGCCAGCCCTCCTCTCCCGTCATGGACCTCCCAGGTAAAAACGCCGTTCTCCTCACCGCTGGCTGGTCATTTCTCAAAATACCATTTTAAATAACAGCAATAATAAGATGCGGGGTTAGGGCAGCAGTAGAGATGCCTCGGGGAAGTGTAGGGGGGGATCTCCCAGGAGCGAGACCTCAGGGTGTTCTGGTGAGCGGGGAAAACTGAGATGCAACTTCCCAGGGAGACGACGGGTGAGGTTTTGCCTCTTGTGATGTGCATGCTGCCAGGGTGGGAGTCGAGGGGTGCTAAGCCGCTTCCTTCCGGAGGGTTTAGGAGGCAGCGGGGGTAACCTAGCCTGGGGAACAAGAGGTTGGGAAGTACAAGCCGGTGCGCGAGCGCAGCACCTCCAAGCAGGAAGGAGGGCGGCGGAGGCTCCCAAAGCCCGGTCGGAGCAGCGCTACGGCGAAGGCGAGGGCTGCGGGAGCCCAGGACCACACGAACCCTGGGAAGGGATAGTGGGGCAGCTCCTACGAGGGGGAGAGGGAGCATCACCAGTAATAATGATGATAAAATCGCCTTTTGTAATGGCTGGGCGTTAGAAGAGAGACATAAACCCGGCTAGCAGATGTAGTAAAAAGTGGGGCTGTGGGAACGAGCCGGATTTTGGAGGCTCCCTCTGCTGTGAGGTGAAAAGGGACCGCCCGAGAAGCCCGCAGACTGATCCACCGTGGGTTCAGGACGAAACCTGACGCGGTGCCCCCTCCTCCCGGCTTAAAGCACGGGTGGGGCTGCGGGGCTTCCCGGTGCCAGGGGACGGGAGAGAGAGAAGACACGAGGAGGCGCTGAGCAGCGAGGTCTCTCCCAGAGAGACCTGTTGGGCCGACGGGAGGCTGCCGGGCTGCGTGGTGCCCGGCTCCTGCACGCCCGCCCCTCTGCTTCACCGCCGCCTTTGCCCTTGCCAGGCTGCTGCGCGCCGCCCGCCCTTTGAGGAGGCTCCTTCGTCCCGCGCGGCGGCGGAGGAGGAGGAGGAAGAGAGAAGGAGGAGGAGGCAGAGGAGGAGAAGGGGAGGAAGGCGCGGCCCTAGCCGCCGGTGCCCAGCCACCGTCCCGCAGAGCGCTGGCCGCCGGGCGCCGCGGCGGCAGCAGGCGCGCAGCCCCCTCCGCTTCCCCGCGGCTGCCCGCATGGCGGCGGCGAGCCGGAGCGGCGGCGGCCGGGCGCTGGGCATGGGCCGGCGGCGGCGGGGGGCGCTGCTGGGGCCGACGGGAGGCTGCTCCTGCTGCCTGGCGGCGGCGCTGCCGCTGCTGCTGCTGCTGCTGCCCGCCGGGTGCCCGGTGCGGGCGCAGAACGACACAGAGCCCATCGTCCTGGAGGGGAAGTGCCTGGTGGTGTGCGACTCTAGCCCCTCGGCCGACGGCGCCATCACCTCCTCCCTGGGGATCTCGGTGCGCTCCGGCAGCGCCAAGGTGGCCTTCTCGGCCACCCGCAGCACCAACCACGAGCCCTCGGAGATGAGCAACCGCACCATGACCATCTACTTCGACCAGGTCAGCCGACGCCCGCTTTGTCTTCTCCGCTCCACACTCCGCGCCGCCGCCCCTAGCCTCCCTGCGCGGCCATTCCCGCCCCTGCACGCGGACTTTAGTTTCTGCTCACCTTTCATCTTTTAATCCTGACCCACCTGCTCAATAGCATTTTTTTACAGCTCAACTCCCCAGAAAGAGTTCGGGAAGTTCTTTTAGGTGGCTGCGGGGCATTTGGGTGTGTTGTGGGTGGAAGGGCGACGCCGGCTTTTTGTCCGGTCCCATCGCTACTACTGAGAGGGCTTTAACGTGCGAGTTTGTGCCTCGGGCGCTTGTGGGGGCTTTTAGCAGCCGAGGGTTGCTCCAGGCAGTCAAGGATGACCCGGGGAGAGGGTGCGCACTCCCCCTGTCCCTATCGGTGCTCCGTCTGAGATGCTTATTTTCAGGGCAAGGAGAGGACTGAGATTTACCGACGGGGAGCTGCCGGGGCTGCCTGTTCCAAGCGCACTTGGCAATGTTACAGCACCTCTCAGGGGGAGGGAGGGCTGAGGAAGAAGAGGGTGTTCCCCGCCTTATCAAACGAGGCGAACACTGTCCCCGGTGGGTTGTAAATGAATGGTGTTACCCTGCACGCGGTACGTCGGTTAGGGAAGCGGACAGCCCGAGCTGCTGGTCCTGCCCCTTTCTTGCTTCAGTGCTTGCTTCCCGGAGCCCGTGCCCCGGTGTACCGCTTGACTTTTGCGACGAAATTCACTTTTTTTTTTCTGCCGCCTCTTACTCCTGATTTAGTACTGCGGAGTCAGCCAAAATTAGCGCACGCAGACTTGTTTTCTCTGCTTTTGTTTTTGTTTTCATCTGTCTGTCAGTCTATCATTCATCTGTCTACCTGTTCCTTCTAATGAGTTTGCACAGCTATTCCTTACAAGCTGTCATTAAGTCAGATCAGTAGAGTAAAAAAAAAACCAAAACCAAACAACCAAGAGTTTGCTTCATGTGTAGCGTATTTTAGACGCTTTATTCAGCAGTGTTCAGTTCTCAGGAGTTCTCAGGCGTCCCTCCCTCGGTGCTCCCGCAATAACGGATTTCTTTCTTGGGACGAAAGCGTCGGGATTTGCGGAGGGATTGGTTTTTGTTTCCTCCCGCTTTGTATTTTGATCCATTAAACCAAAGGCTGTAGCCCGCTTAGCCGAGCACGCCTGGGGCGCTTCGGAGAGGACCGGCGCGGCAGAGCAGCCAGCTTTGGCTCACCCCTCGCTCTACGGGCCTGCGGGGTTTTCTCCCCTTGTTAGCCGTGCCTATTGAGCCAAACCAGGCCGGTGCCTGTAAAGGGAGGGAGCGATAAGCCTTTGCCGGATTGCCGTCAGTGTCCGGCTCGGCAGTCTGCGGGGCAGGATGCGGTCGCTGCTCTCAAGCAAGGCTTCGCAATGTACCGAAGTGCTCAACTCTTTTTTCTTGCGTTCAAAAGACACTCAAATATATGACAAATTAAGACTGTTGTCGGGGAGGAGGAGGAGGCCCACCCCAGCCGCCTGAGGATGCGGGGCAGGCGGCACAGCTCTCCGGAGGGGCAGAGAGGCATGAGCTGGCAGACGTTGCTGTTGCGGACCATTCTGTCTCCTCCATCAGTGATCTCATTAGGGCGATTTTCTATAAACTGCTGAATTCGAGGACAGGTTCGATTTCAGTAAAGCTAGATAAAAAACATACGTTTGCATTATGAGTTGATGAGTTTAAAGGTTTTTTGTCCTTGCTTCTTTCTCCTTCCTCTTTTCCTTCCTTCCACTCCCCTCCCTTCTCCCGCTTCTGCCACCTTTGTTTTATTAACAGTGCAGTGTAATGTTGCACTTTTGACATTTGTGCTTCACCTAGCAGGCTTTGGAGACCATTATTGCATAACTGAATCGTTTTATGAACTGTGATGCTTTTTAAATGCCTCTGTAATTTGGCTCCTTTCCTCTGCAGTGCACTTTTAATTGTGCTGCAAATACTATCTCAACTAGGCTTTATATCGGTCATGAGCTCATGTAAGATGTACACTGGTGGTTTTCTAAGGTGAGGTCTGATTTCTCTTTCTCTCTCTCTCCTTTTTTTTGTTTTGTTTGTTTACTTTCCAGGTATTAGTTAATATTGGCAACCATTTTGATCTTGCTTCCAGTATATTTGTAGCACCAAGAAAAGGGATATATAGTTTCAGTTTCCACGTGGTCAAGGTCTATAACAGACAAACCATCCAGGTGGGTTCTGATCTAAAGAAGATGCTTTGTTTCTTTTTTTCTACTTTTCTTTTTCCTCTTTCAAATGCTCATTTCTAGAGACTGAGGTGCATTTACAAACCAGCAAGTGAAGAATGAGACTGTAGGTTATTTTAGTTAAAGGGGCCTGCATGCATGACAGAAATCATGCATTGCCTTAGCTTAATTTGACCCTGTTTCTAACCTGCACAAAAGCTTAGTGATGTGTACAAGGTATAAAAGTCATTAAGAGTATTGAGAAAACTCAGATTCTCTGTCTTTGCACTTTTTAGGTAAGTTTAATGCAAAACGGCTACCCAGTGATTTCAGCTTTTGCAGGGGATCAGGACGTCACCAGAGAAGCAGCCAGCAACGGGGTCTTGCTCCACATGGAAAGAGAAGACAAAGTGCATCTCAAACTGGAAAGGGGTAACCTCATGGGAGGGTGGAAATATTCAACCTTTTCTGGCTTCTTAGTCTTTCCACTATAAAAGAAGGCCAAATAGGCAGCAGATCTATGAGCCGGAGGAAGGATTCAGTCGTTAATGACACCCTGATCTTGGCAGCACATGACAATATTTCCAGTCACCCCGTCAGACTGTCATGGTAGAAGAATGATAACCTCCTAAACTCCAACATTTGCTTTGAATATTGACAATTCCTCGGGAACCTGCGCCTCTAATTAGTTTTAGACGACAGTGATCTTTAGGAGAAATGAAATTATCGACCTGAGCAATTTATACCTGTGATTGTAAAGTCAATTTCGGATTTTATTGCTGGGATCGTTGACTTTCTTATTATTTTTAAATTTTTCCCCTCTTTCATTTTTTCCTCTTTTTTTTTTCTCTTGTCGTTGTCCCAGTGAGACAAATAACTTGGACCACACAATCGCTTTGTCAAAGGCTCAGTCCAGAGCCAGAAGAATGAAGTGTTCAGCCCAATGAGGTGTTCTTTCCATACTTTATTTCTCCGTGTTGTATAGCCTTAAGGGAAAAAAAAAAGAAAAAAAAGAAAAAAAAAGAAAAAAAAAAAGAAAAAAAGCTTCCGTTTCAGTCCTGTATTTTTCTGGGGGAGGGGGATTCTGGACATTACTGTGTCAAGAAGTGCTTTATCAAGTGAAGCAAAATTTGCACGATTGGAACCTTACTTGTTTTGTGTTGTTCGTATTTTTCATCGACTTTCTTTTTCCTGATTTTTGTTTGTGTGTGCTAAAAATGTAAGCTAGATTGATCAATAAGACAAAACAAAGCACATATATACCCTGTAGCTCTAGGTGAAGCTAACCAGTGAACAATTTTGTCTGCACTTTCCAGCTGATCTTTATAGACCTATTTAGAGAAAGGAGCGAGAGAGCTACATGATCCTTCAATTACAATCTGGAAACTGGTAAAGGAACTGACATTTCTGAATTGTCCTGACATTTCTAGAAGCAACAAAGGAGGCTTTGAATATCTTCTCTGACCATACCCTAAAATATATCCTTTCTTTGCATTACTGGGTATATTTTGGGTGGTTTTATCCGACATTTATTTGATGTATTTGTCCACTAATGCTTGAGTACACATTGTGGGAGCACGGAGAGAGGGCAGAGCAAACTCTTCCTCTTCCAAGTTAAATAAAATCATCTCCACTTGACCTGTCCGTGGCAAGTATCGGAGGAGCTGACGCTAGCATCTTTGACAGCCTTTGGGAGAGGGCCTCAGAGGATCAGCAAAAGCACCAGAAGCTGCATGGGTGCCTTGCATTTGTTAGCCGTGTGTGCTCTTCCCAGTACAAATGGCCTCAGAGTTCTGGGGGTGGACCAGTGTTGGTACTGGAGGTTAGGAAAACTTATTATCCCAATTCACAAGAAGTAAAATATCAGGCCAAAATCAGTTGCATCATTTTGCCTCACTCTTAATAAACAGACCCCGTTTTTTCACTTTTTTTATGAAGGTTGGTGTATTAGTGTGCTGAGGGAAACCTTGCTTGCGGACATCCAGAAAGAATGTTTATATAATTTTATATTTATTAATTTTTAACTTCATTTATTTAATTTTGAATAATTCATCTTGCTATTAATCCTGCAAGGGTGGATGTGTATAAGAATTTATTTTTGTCAAATATACTCCTCTGCCACAAATATAATGCAAAAGCATTTGCAGCAAATCGGTGGTAGCTATGTTGTATTTCAAAATTATGGTGGACATGTCATTTTCATTGTAAATTTATCATTAAAGGGGCAAAGTCAATTAAAGTCATATATTCTTAAAAAAAAACCTTATCTGTGTTGCTTATGATACCTCAGATGACTAAACCATAAGGCAATATAATATTTCATATTTTCATGTATTTTCAACATTGATGCTGTTTGTTTGCTTTGGTATTTTACTTTGCTGGCTACTGAGTTAATGGGCTTCAGGTTTGTTTTTAATGGGTTATATTTTCTAGTTCCCTTTTCGCATTGGCATGACTGCAGTGTTTCTATTTGCTAAAATATCACAGGACTACTTTTAAATATATGTAATAAAACCTGAGTCAGCAGCAACCTTCTACTAAATACAAAAATACAATTAAAACAGTTGTCTTAATGCTAGATATTGTAAAACTACTTTTATATCTTAATTTTTTGTGTTTAAAACTTGATCATGTCTCTCAAGGAAATAGACACTGAGGTGGGTTCAAGGTCCCAGCTTTTCAGTTTCTGTTCCATTTCCTTAGTCTTATTTTGAAATTCTGCCTACCATAATCACTTTCAGTTGTCCCATTTATCTCAGTTCGTCTGGTTTGATAAGGCAGTGGTATACTATTTCTTGCTCTCTCCTAAGTTAAATGAAGCCAGTGTCAAGATTTTCCTTGAACATATTCTTGGAAATTTCTTAAGCCACTTAAGCTGCAGAATCTCAATAACCTGCTTCATATATTCAAAGTCAATAATTTTGGCCATGGTTATTTTATAAAGCTAAATATATTTATACAATAACGAATCTTCTGAATTTGAAGAGGGTCTCTAATGTACTGCCTCTCTTCCTCTTCTACTGATGTGTCCTTCATGATAAGCTATAGTGTTAGTCATGTTATATAAACAGTTAAATGGAATCCCCTTCTTTTTATAAAATCCTCCTAAATCTAATAAATTCCCTTTAAATTTGATAAATTTCCTTCTTTTTATATTCCTTGCAATATTCATTCATTTTTCTTTTTACTTAATTTCGTATCTGAGTTTGCGAAGGTGCAACCTACTTGTTATTGGAAACAGTAGATATTTTGATATACAGATAAGGTGTGAATATCATGATGTATTTTATGTTAAAAGAGGAAAATGTGCAATAGCAGACTGAAGAATGCAACAAGAAATACTAGGTGAGACCACTTAAAGGAGCCTGACCGAACATTATGAGCAGGCTTGTCTAAAATAAGTTATATAAATAAATTGATTGGGTAACATTTGGAGTTGGTGTAAATTTAATGTTGAGGTTCACCATGAGACTTAATAAGCTTAAAACACATATGGTAGTGAAGTAGGCCAATAGCACAATAATGGTTCTGGTTCCTGTGGGAGTAATAACAATATCCTTCCCAACAACTTTCAGATTTTCTCATAAGCTGCTGTTTAACATGATCATAAGATATTCCTATGAAAACACTTGTCTGTTTGACTGTTTCCCTTCCAGGAAACAATCTTCACCTGGATGTTTTGGGGAACCAGTGCTTTCATGTTTCTTTATCATACTTTTGTCAGGGTAGAACCGGGACCTGTATTAGGAATGATAAATGCTCATCATATATTTATTGCCTTCCTCTTGGTTTTTGAGGTTTATATCCATAGTTAGAACACTGTCTTGCAAACCCCTGTGTGCTCTCACATCACCCTGAGTGGTGATGGATGTGCAGTGTCTCTCATTATCGGTCAGCATCTTACAATCTGAATCTGTTTGGGTGGGAGAAGAGAGATGCAGAACTAGGAAGTTGTTTAGAATTTACGTTGTATTTGTTGACTCTGTCTTTTTTAACTTCTAAAAAGAAATTTTTGGTTTTGTTGACCAAATTTATGTCTTGGAATATCTGCCAAAGTAGATAGGCTAAAAGGGATTGCTTACTGATGGAGTTGCTTGGAAATAGCTGAAAGTGGTTTCATGTCCTTGTAACGTGACATTCATTTCTGGACTAGGCAGGGTCATAGGTAGTGTTGTTTAAAAATAGCTGTTATAATTAATAGTCTGCTTTAGTCCAGGATAGATTTCTAGTGTTAAGAAGTACTCAAAAAATCAGTGTCATTAACATACTTTTTAATTTTCATGGGTAATGACTGTCAGCTAAAGTCCATTAAACAGTTATACATAATGAAAGGAAAAAAAAATCGCTCACATATTTTTATTTATTGTTGAAAGGCCAGGGAATGTCTGAGGCAATGCATAGCTTCTAGATGTGGAAGCACACACTGTCTTGAACAATTGTTCCAGGATCATGTTTGATGAGATGTGTCATGCCCATTTTTAATCATGGTGGTAAATAACAATGATTTATTGTAAAATACCCATTTTCTTAATGGAGCAGATTCTTTTATTTGACTTGTCTTCATCCGTCAGAATGCTCAAAACAGAACTTTATGATTCCTCGCCACCTCTTAACTAGGTCACATTAACAGGTTATAAATTCCTGAGGATTACTGATATTCATCGTGGCTGTTGTTAGACACAGACTAGGTGGCTGGGCAGATGATAGGCAAACCTTTTGATCAGCTGCTTAATCTTCAGCTCCCTAGTAAAAATAAATACATTGTCATTTCAATGAAAAGGCTAATCCTGCTTGGTTTACCTACTTCAGTAAAGTCCATTCCTGTAGAGAGGAGGAGCTTATGAAAAACATCAATAGTATTTGTCCTGGATCATAGTGTTTGGAATTTGGGCATGATCTACAATTACGTTTACTTTGAAAATAAGTGTCAATTAGCTCAAACCTTTAGTTAACAAAAAAATAATTCTTCAGTTTAAATGTCTTTCAACACATCGTAATTCTTATAATTTGATCAAAATCCTACAAATATAACTTGAATACATGTTTGAAATCCATTCTCAAAACAGTAATGTTTACAGTCTTATCCACCACAATGATGATTTTTTTTTCTTATTAGCCATTATCAATAAAATCCAAGAAACACTAATTGCATTTTATACTATTTGAGTGTAATAATGAAAATGCACTTCACATACCAAGTATGTCTAACATACCCCATTTCTTCCTAGGTAATATACATTAAAGTATTTTCTACATCCCTTTTGCTACTCATCAGCAAAACAGAGTTGCCTAACTTGCTGGGTTTCTGCAGATCACGTACCACTGATAATATAAGTAATGGCCTAGCAAGACACGGAGAAGCAAATAATGAGTACTATTATGAATTCTGCATTGAAAAAAAAAGAATTATCTATCTGCATCAACAGAAATTCAGGTCATACTGACCAGTGTTCCAAAACTCAGGAAATATTAAAGATAAGTTTTTTAACTAATGTTACCAACTGATACTACTTCCATTGTTATAATGATGTGTTATTTTTACTATGGGAATCTAAAAAATAATTATTCTTTTTCTGATGTCAGCTATATTAAAAGACTTTTATTCAGAGTGTTAATATAATGACTCAACAGAAACATAAGTTCATCAATTAGTATTTATTAGGTAACTCTCATCACAACTGATACATTTTAGTTAATTGAAACTATGTATTTGAAATGCTTTTATTTATCTGTGTGCAAATATACACACAAGTGAATACATGAATAATAAATATGTGTACATGCACATAAAACATTTTAGCTGGGAATGGATGAACAGAGAGCTGACATTTTCATATATAGTTTGGCTTTCCTTTCTCCGAAGCATTACCCTGACAAGTCAGTTGTTATTTCATCTATTGTCATTCTACACCTAAAATGTTCGTCTTTGCTTACATCCAAAAGTACACAGAGTAATAGCAAATGACATTATGTATTTCAGTGCTGAGAGATGCCCCATCTTAGGTAATATCAGAGTAAAGTGAAACTTGGAGTTATTAATAAACAGTTTCATTACCTCAAGTTCTGTTGAAAGCTTTTGTGATGAGTGAACCTATAGTGCTGTGTGGGAATTGTTTCAAAACATCTTATAGGAAGATACACCAGACTGGAGCTTCAGTTTGTCCTTCTAGTGACGCTGGATGGGAAACCTGCAATATATATTATAACTGCAAGAGAAAATATGTCCCTATATTTAATTGTTTAGCAGCAATAATCTTTAAACACTGATTTAATTTTGGTTGTGGAACTGCTTTCTGTACAGAGATGCATTATACTGTCACATTTCAGAACTAAGAATAACAGTGACTTCAGTGGACAAAGGATGAGGGGTTTTCCAACTTTTTATTTGCTTACTAGGAGAAATAACCTATCAGAGAACTTACGTTGCTTCTACAGGCTTTTATACCAGAGAAAATATGTAAGAAATTATTTTAAAAGAATCTTTCAGGTTCTCTTTAA